TGACAGCAGCTAAAAGAAGTAAAAAAAAAAAAAAAATATATATATATATATATATATATATATATATATATATATATATATATATATATATATATATATATATATATATATATATATATACACAGTGTTGGGCAGTAGCGTCGCTACAAGTAGTGAAGCTACTAGCTTAGCTACATTTCTCAGTAGCGTGGCGGTAACATCGCTACTTTCTAAATCAAATAGCTTTTCAGTAGCGAAGCTATTTTATTTGTCAAGTAGCGCAGTAGCGTCCACAAAGCTACATTTACCAATCGCGCATGAATAAGTGACGGCACCGACATTCACAAAGCTGTGAGGCTGTTTTCTAGACGATGACAGTAAATCCATATGATAGCTAGAACAACAGCTTCTTCTTCTTCTTCCTGTTTTACGGTGGTTGACAGCAAACGTTTTGGTGTGTTACTGCCCCCTCTGGTCGATGACGTCACCAACCAAATTAGGCTAAGACGAGAAACTTGCTTGATGGAAAGAGGACTGAGGGAGAGGAGTTATTTCTGAAGCAGGGTTTTTCGTGACCATACCTCGAGAAGTACATGATAAGATGCAATAACTTAATTTCTAATGCTGTGCTCAAAAATACTTTAGTAATTTATAGTAAGTACTACTATAAATGACTGCATTATGTAGTGTAATTTATTAATAAAGAGTTGTAAATATATATACACAATATGCTTAATGCTTATGTCAAAATATTTCTCTTTACTATAAATGACTATAGAATTTTAAATGTGTAACACCTGTTTTTATTGGATTTTTAGTTTTAGCAGTTATATACTATAATGTGTTTCTGTTCAGTACAACATACTATTTACAGTAAATAACTAAACTATTATGCCTCATATGTTTCATTTGCAGTTTTATTGATCTCTAAGATATGACTGACTTGGATTTAAGTTGCTATGATTTAAAAATAAAAATTGCAAAAATAGCTTAGATGTAGCTAAGCTACTTTTGCCAAGTAGCTTTTAGCTTAGCTCGCTACATTTCCCAGAGGGTAGCTTTTAGTGTAGTTAAGCTAGTAGCTAATAGAATAGCTCACTACATTTTTCAAGTAGCTTGCCTAACTTTGTATATATATATATATATATATATATATTGGCAGTTGGCATTTCTGTGTGGAGTTTGCATGTTTTGCGTTCATGTGGGTTTCCTCTGGGTGCTGCGGTTTCCCCACAGTTCATAGACATGTGGTACAGGTGAATTGGGTAGGCTAAATTGTCCATAGTGTATGAGTGTGTGTGTGTGTAAATGTTTCCCAGAGATGGGTTGCGACTGGAAGGGCTGCGTCAAAATATATATAACTTGGCGGTTCATTCCGCTGTGGCAATCCCGTATTGATGAAGGGACTAAGCCAACAAAAAAATTAATGAATATATATATTTGCCTGAGTTGTGTGTTGGTAACAATTTGTTGGTGCGAATGTACAAATGTCGGAACTGATGGAATCATCTAGATCAGGGGTTTCCAAACTTTTTTTGCTCTGAAGGTGTTTTTAAAGAAACAAACCTCACATGCAATGGTGCACACACACCAGTAGGCCCAAGTCTATTTTTTGTTCAATTTTTGGAGAATGCTATTTAAAGATCATCCGCCATCTTCAGTCAAAAGTTAAAAATGAATCATACAAAATTAGATGAAACTCCGGAGGAAATGCTGGATAGACTGGTAATGCGACATTAATTGTTTTATACTGAATCTTTCCTTCTAAAAGTGCTTTCTTGGTCTGATCCGTACTGTATTTCTTTGCATGTTCAACACACGTCAGCCACAACAGGATATAAAAAAAAAACTGCACATGCGTTAATTGCGTTAATTAATTTTTTTTTACGTGTTAAATATTTCAAATTATTCGCATGCGTTAATGCACTAATTTTGCCAGCAGTACTTAATATAAATTTTCTTTTGGGCTGCTGTAACTTTTAAGAACTTTTCTTGAAAAGTTTGTTCATTACAGCAAACAAAATGAAGTGAGGCACAACCTGTGATGAAATATCATAATTCACTGATGTTTACCATTTGACGTTTCCATTATTAGAAGTAATAGACCAGATCTGGGGCAGAATAAAAGCAAACTGTGGCCCAGAATAGAGTCAGTTCTGGTTAATTTGCTTGAATTCTGGCTGATACGTGGTATTGCTTTGCCTTATTTTTGGCCCAGATCTGACAAACTGATCGGATTGCCCTATAGACATCATTCCATTCAGTATGTGGTCCATATGTGAGTGTCTGGTGTGGGCCAGAATAAAAGCAAACTGTGGCCTAGAATAAGATGAGTTCTGGTTCATTTGGTTGGATTCTGGCTGATATGTGATATTGCTATGGCTTAATTGTGGCCCAGATCTGGCAAACAGGAGTGGACTGCCCAGGCGACATCATTCCATCCGGTATGTGGGCCGCATGGAAGTGTCTGGTGTGGGCCGGATTTGACCCACATGAATTTTGCTATGGGTTGGACACCCCTGAAGTAGATGTATTCGTCATGATAAAGAGGAAAAAATGACAATTTTAAAATCCGTTTCACGGCATCTTTAAAACGGAGGGAAAAAAATCACAGATGATCAGGGTGGTTTGATTAGGCTGAAGGCGGAAAACATCTGGAACAAAACTACACACATTTACTACAACCCAGAGAGGAAATTACGTCTGCTGAACAATAACTCAGAATAGAACGTTTTTCCTCTTTTATTGTTTTTTTTTTTACACACTTCCTCTCTGATGGATGGTAAAATCTGCAGGTGTGGGTTTTCTTTGATATGAGACACCACATGTTTCATTCAGGGGCTTCTTGGCTGAATAAACCTCAGAAACTCAGAGTCTCTCATCAAGCGATCCAAACACTGTCCAGGTCTCTGAATCAAGGTGTTTCTATAATCAACATGATTGAATGGAAGAAACTAGCAATGCTGATAAAGGCTTCAGATTTGTTCACGTAATCACCACAAGGACCGTGCAGTCTATTAATTAATTGAATGGGAAATTGAGAGAGGCATCTGTAATAAAAAGCAAAATGCCAGATTTCACAGGCTGTAATCAAGGCTTATATTGATGCTGTTTTGTATTATTTGAAATTTGAGATCTGCTGTGTTGGATTGCTCAAAATTACTCGAGAAGGATAATCAATATTGCATAGTTTTCCGTCCTGATTGCTCTTAATGCTTAGCGAATGTCATAAGGCCTTAATTGAGGATGTTGATCAATAATCAAATCCATGTCTGTTTTGGCTAGAAAGTAAAATATGTGACGTTAAATTAATGAATGCATAAACCAGGGTGTCCAAACTCGGTCCTGGAGGGCTGGTGTCCTGCAGATGTTAGCTCCAACTTCCCACATAGCAAATGTTTTCTGGCCCAGCTCTGGGCCACACTTTAACTTTTCCCTCGGCCTAAGTACCGCAAAGAATGACGGTCCTGACATGACCCATAACTGGATTAAACACAAGGGCCACACATGGGCCATAACCGGCCCGAATTTCAGCCAATGTATTACCCTTAACGGGCCCTAAACTGGGCCCAAACAGATTTATTATTGGTACCGATTCTCAGCTACAAGTTAACCATATCAACACCACCCTTTCACCAGAAACCCTAAAAACTGAGCCATAACCCATCCTAATGTTACCTAAACAATGTGAACAATCGCTAGACTGATCTGGGCCACACACCTCCCATCACAACTGGCCCAAATGTCAAGCCAAGCTCATTCTGGAAACGTAGCCCTGTGGAAATTTCTGGAGACAGCGATTTAAGTGGCCGGAGGTATGTATCGCCGCGTTTAGTTTTTTTTTCTGAGCGAACGCTGCGGGGCGGTGTGACGTCGCTCCGCTCCTCCTCTTCGCGCTCGCCGGCTGACAGCTTGCCTCAGTGTGGAGTGCTTTCCCGCTGCAACCAATTTGTCCGCTTAGCCCGCAACGTTACGTCAGCGGAGCGGAGGCCCGGAGGAGGAGGAGCCGGCCACGTGGACGACGGGGATCGAGTCCGGGGGAGAGAGGTTCTAGAAATCAGGGAAGATGAAAAACAGTATCCAAAAAATAAGGGCGAGAACGCGGCGAGATCTGAAAACACAGTCGAAATCAAAGACAAGGGCTTTTGCTTTTTTTTTCTGGACGGCTTTTACAAACCGTCGCTTGGGTTTAGGGAAGGAGGAGGAAAAGGAGGGCGGCTGGGTCAGCCGATTGGCTTGCCGCCCGTTCGATCGTTGTTCAGCCAGTCAGTCGGACGGACGGTCGATTCCGAGAGGCGTTCGAGACACGAAAAAGCGTGCACAGCGGCCTCTTGCGGATCCACAAAAACTGCTCGAATACGTACCTCCCGGGACGTATTTCACAGTCTGCAGAAACGTCCGCGGGGCTGCGTTTCCACAATGAGCCCGGGTTGCCAAATGTAGTTTGCTGTCACGCATGCAGTGCCCTCATTGCCAAGCATGGCCCACATTCGACAGTGCCAGCAACACACCAGCAGTGCCATAATGAGGCCACATTTAGGCCAAGTCAGTTTGCTATGTGGGTTGGCTCAACACACCTGCGAGGATGTTTCTAGAACTTCATCAGAGGAAATATTTGATCACAATGGGCATTAATCGGCTGTCTGTGAACATGTCAAACCACCGATCAAAGATCACAGATTTTAGCCTAGGATTTCAGGAATCTTTTAGGATTTCCCAAATTTGTCTCAGATGGCAAAATCGTGGCTGAAATCTTACAGTGAACGAATGAATGAATAAAAATGAATGCTGTTCTTTTGAATTTTCTTCTATATAAAAAAAAAAAAAAACAGAAATGAAAACACAACTCTTCTTATTGTAATCCGAAAAGAAACTCAGTCACACAGTCATCCTTTTAGAGTGACTTCTGAAGGATCATGCAACGCTAATGATGTTGAAAACTCTAGTAACTGATACTAGTAACTGATATGACTGTCATTGCCACTGACTCCTCTGTTTCTATTTTTGGTTTCTGATTTTAGGGATCTCAGCATGAACAATATCAGCGAGATTCAGCCCAACGCTTTCCGCAACCTGCACTTCCTCAGTGAACTGTGAGTATGAGCATGCGAACGGCCCTGTGTTTTATTTGCCTTCACCTCAGTGCTGTGACTAAACCATGTACACACACACTCCACTTGATTAGAGCTTATTTATGTGAAGTGGTTCAGTGAAGGTTAAGTTAGAGACTGACGTCATTCCAGATGTGTAACGCGAGATGCAGATAGAAGTGTACCGTAGAATCAGGAATAAATAAATGAGATCATCACCTTGGGTGATGATGACCTTAGCATGCATTGACTATTAAAAAAATAAATACAATTAAATTAAATTGCTTATTAAGTCACTGTTGCCTGCAATTTGTGGTACATCTGTGTTTTTCGATTATCCGTTTATAAATTGCATTACGGGAGCTTGAACTGTGCTCTGATAAATTCTGATGTTGAAAACTTTAGCATTTGAAGTTGTTTTATATATATTTTATGGCTTGATCATGTCATTTTGGATATAAAAAGAGCTGCCTGTATTTATTATTTCCTAAACAATATATTGTTTCAACATCAATTTGTTAAATTGGATTTCTCTGTGTACAAATGAAGGCCCTATAAGTAAGTTTGAGAGCGTAACTAGAATAAAAACTCGGCAACAATTTATTACATACTATGAATCATTTATTAAGCATTAGCAAATGGTTAATTCGATAACACTTTATAATAACTACACACTATGAATCATTTACCAAGCATTAACATCTAATTAATTCATTATCTGTTAAGCATTAACTCTACATTAATGAACGTTAGTAAGCAGTTTATAACTGCAGCTACAAATGCTGTATTCTTATGACTTATTACCACCTATATAATATGCGTAATAATTGTATTTCCATAATTAATTAATAATTTATTTTTCATTACTAAATTAATTATTGCATTATTTACAAACCAGTCGTATTTAAGAGTAGTTGAGGGTTTTTAGGACAATCCGGAATGAGTTAGTAAATGAATAATAAACTATTGAAATAAACATTTGTATATCTTATTATTCAGGCACATACTAATACTTAACTAATATGTTAATAAATGCTGTATTAACTCAACTTCATGCAGTTTTGTGACCTAATCTAAAGTGAGGACTATTCATGCTTTATAAATCCTTTATAAATGACAAATAAAGGCTCAGAATCAAATAATTGATAATCTGTGCAATCTTATCTAAAAAGTAAAATTACTGTTTAGTTTAAACATTGCCAGATAGCAGGAGTATCAAAGTACGACATAAAACTGAATAAAACAACAAAAACAATATAATAATTTAACAATATAATAAGATGTAATGTTTAAACTCTACAGTGATTTTATTTCAGATCAGGCCGCAAAATGTATTTTTCATTTGAAGTACAGTTTCATTTGTGTTTCTTTAAATGAATAGGAATGAATAATGTCATTTTTCCTGTTTAGAATTTAACTGAAACCTTTAATAGTCATTTATAAGGGATTTATAAAGCATGAATAGTCCTCACTTTAGATTAGGTCACAAAACTGCATGAAGTTGAGTTAATAAAGCATTTATTAACATATTAGTTGACTATTAGTATATGCCTGAATAATAAGACATATAAATGTTGATTTCAATAGTTTATTAATCATTTACTAACTCATTCTGAATGGTCCTAAAAATCCTCAAGTACTCTTAAATACAAATGGTTTGTAAATAATGCAAAACTTAATTTAGTAATAAAAAATAAATCATTAACAAAGTATGAAATTACAATTATTAAGCACATTTTAAATATGTTTGTAAGTCAAGAATACAGCATTTGTAGCTGCAGTTATAAACTATTAACTAAACGAAACTAGTTACTAATGCTTATTAATGTAGAGTTAATGCTTAACAGATAATGATTTCACTATTTGCTAATGCTTAAAAAATGATTTATATTGTGTAGTTATTATAAAGTGTTACCGTTAAATCTTTATCTTTTAAGCACTATCTCTGTCATTATCTGTTAAGCATTGGCTAATCGGGATAACCGGAAGAATTCCCAGTGGACTGGTCTGTTTTTTGGCCGCAAGGCCCGTGACGCTAGCTGCTTGCACTCTCAGCAGTCGCACTTTATTTATTTATTTATTTATTTATTTATTTGACCAAAGCCTCACTCTTTTTATTCATTATTTTGCCGCAGCTCCATTCTTTTTATTTATTTTCTCGCAGCCCCTTGAGCAAAATGCAGCCTGCAGGTTGATGATAATTTAACAATCGTTCGACCTTAAACAGCGGCACCTAAAAAATGTAAAAAATCTGACATAGCTTGATCAGAAATCTAAAAAGGGGAGAAAAAGATTAAGCCATTAATATAGAAGTGCAATACTTATTCATTATTCCAACCACACCAGCATAACATCGCCATTGTATAGTCCAGAGGGTAGCATGTTGTGTCACGACGCCGCCGTTAGTTAAAATCTAACCTAAGTTACTAATTAATTAATTAATTAATTTATTTATTTATTTGTTTATTTATTTATTTATTTATTTATATTTTTAGTGTTAAGACACATAATACTGTTTGGGTTACTTATGTTGGTGTACATGTTTTATTTTTATTTTTTGTGTGACCATTGTTACAAATAAAGGCGAAGGAGGGGCGCAGTAGGTAGTGCTGTCGCGTTACAGCAAGAAGGTCGCTTGGTTGATGTTTTTGTGAGGAGTTTGCATGTTCTCCCTGCGTTCGCGTTGGTTTCCCCCACAGTCGGACATGTGGTATAGGTGAATTGGGTAGGCTAAATTGTCCGTAGTATGTGTTTGTATGTTTCCCAGAGTTGGATTGAGGCTGGAAAGGCATCCGCTGCATAAAGATGTACTGGATAAGTTAGTGGTTCATTCCGCTGTGGTGACCCCGGATTAATAAAAGGACTAAGCCGACAAGAAAATTAATGAATGAATGATCGTTACAAAGGACTGGGTATCTATAAAGAATTTTTCACAGAATATATATTCAGATATTGCAGGAAATGACATTGTGATGATTTAAAAAAGAGTGTTGGAGATTTAGCGACCCTTTAATGTTATCATATTTATGAAAAACAAAAAGTTCTACAGCAGCTGTTTCTTTGAAAAAGACATGACAGAGTCAATACAAACGGAATTGAAAATGACATTATTTTAAAATAGTCGTGAACTGAGGTGGGCCGGTCTAAGGCTTGAAACTCCAGGGCTGAAAAGGAGCAAGGAAATTTTCACAGTATGTCTGATCATATTTTTTATTTTGGAAAAAGTTATTTGTTTTATTTAAACTAAAGTAAAAGCAGTTTAAGTTTTTTAAACACCACTTTAAGGACAAAATTATTAGCCCCTTTAAGCTAATTTTTATTTGCGATAGTCTACAGAACAAACCATCGTTATACAATAACTTGCCTAATAACCCTGCCTAGTTAACCTAATTAAGCTCTTAAATGTCACTTTAAGCTGTATAGAAGTGTCTTGAAAAATATCTAGTCAAATATTATTTACTGTCATCATGGCAAGGATAAAATGAATCAGTTATCAGAGATGAGTTATTAAAACTATTATGTTTAGAAATGTGTTGGAAAAAAATCTGCTCTCTGTTTAACAGAAAACGGGGACAAAAATAAGCAGGGGGGCCAAAAATGCCTTCAACTGTATAAGCGCCTATATAATGTGCTTGATTGTATTTTCATACTTTGTCAATTATTATTTCATTACTAAATTAAGTATTTCATCATTTAACCAGTTATTTGAGAGGAGTTGATGTTTTTTAAAAGTCATCCAGAAAGTGCAAATAAATGATAAATAAACTATTCAAATTAACATGTGTATATCTTATTATTTAGGCGTATAATAGTAGTTAATTTGTATGTAAATGCATGCTTTATTAACTCAACTTCATCCAGTTTTGTAACCTAATCTAGTGAGGAATATTTATGCTTTATAAATCCCTTATAAATGACAATTAAATGCTGAATGCTTTCTTTGGCATTCCAGATGACTTTATTAATAAGTTATTTGAGTCATTGCAGAAATGCTCATGGGAGTCCTACACGATATTCATTCATTTTCCACTGCACCATGACTTTATATTCTATACTGCACATTATTTCTGTTAAGTGACAAGACTTTTGGCTAAGCAAAGTCAGACCTTACTGTCCTAATTAAATAATTAAAAATCAAGGCATGATCATATTTTATTTTGGTAAAATAAGCATAATCTAGGGGCCTTTGCCTTTCATTTTAGCCACTTCTGAAATCAAATGATCAAGTCAAGTTATTGTTTGTTGTTCCTAAAACTTGGATAGGTGACCTTCTGTCAGGTAGTGTACATGAACACACTCGTCTAGACCTTTACCATGCCATGCGTCCATCAGAATGAGCTGAAGGCTCGAGCAATATCACACTTTCCCCCCTTAAGGGCCAATTAGCTCAGGTGAGAGGCAGCCTAACCCTGCCAGAGTCTCTGGAGAGTGTTCACATTCAGATGAAAAGCACCTGGCCAGATGCAGAACACACATGTGGAGCAGCTGGAGTTTTCCAACACCTGACCCGAAAAACTTGTTTTCCTCACTTCTTCTAAATCAGTTTCTTACTTGAATGCAAATGAAGATAGTCTAAAAAACTTTTTGTTTATGGATGTCAATAATGTCATTCTTACATCTTGTTTTGTGTTCAACAGAGAAAAAATATGTTGAGAACCGCTTGAGTGCAGAGATGGCAAAAGCACACACATCGTTCACTTAAGTAGAAGTACAGATACTCATGTTTAGAACAACTCTGGTAAATATAAAAGTACAGACTACACTTTTGTACTTAACCCATTTAATCCCACTGGTCACAACTGTGACCACAATTAACAGAATAAAAGGAAACTATGGCCCAGAATAGGGTCAGTTCTGGTTCATTTAATTGAATTCTGGCTGATATGTGATATTGCTATTGCTTAATTGTGGCCCAGATCTGGCAAACTGGAGAGGACCTCCCAAGTGCCATCATTCCATGCGGTGTGTGGGCCGGATGTAAGTGTCTGGTGTGGGCTAGATTT